ATATATATATATATATATATATATATATATATATATATATATATATATATATATATATATATAAGCAGCAGCAGCAGCAGCAGGAGCAGCATGAATGTGTGTTACCTGTCTCTTGATGGGGTCTGCTGGTGCGAGTGCTTTCTCCTGCAGCAGCTGCTGCTGCTGCGTGTTGCTGCTGCTGACGGCCTGCAGCAGCAGCAGCTCAAATCCTTGTGGCTTCATCAGTGCTGCTGCTTGCTGCATGCTGTGTGTTGTTTGTGTTGCTGCTGTTAGCGTAGAATACCCGAAATGCTGCTGTCTTTGCTGCTGCTGCTGCAGCACCACTGGTATCCACTTGCATGCATCCTGCTGCGCGTATTCATATTGCTGCTGCCGCTGCAGCAGCTGCTGCTGCTGCAGCGGGAGACGCTCAGGCAGAACCCCAGAGTCCAGCTCTGCTTGCTTTGCTGCTGCTGCTGCTGCTGCTGCTGCTGCTGCGTCCTCATCCCCTGCTGCTGCTGCTTCAGCTGCAGCAGCAGCAGCAGCAGCAGCAGCACGACGAGATGGAGCAGCAAGAACCGTCAGCTGCTGCTGCAGCTCCCCGTGCTGCGTGCTGCCTTCAACAGCAGACAGTATCTCCTCAAACCCAAAACCTGTGCAGCAGCAGCAGCAGCAGCAGCAGCAGCAGCAGCAGTGGCAGCAGCAGCAGTGGAAGATGCAGCAGCAGCAGCAGCAGCAGCAACAGTGGAAGATGCAGCAGCAGCAGCAACAACAACAACGCAGGATACAGCAGCAGCAGCAGCAACAACAGAACAGCATGCAGCAGCAGAACAAAGGGCAACAGCATCCTCAGCATCAGCAGCAACAGCAGCAGCAGTTACAGCAGCAGCAGCAGCAGCAGTTGGATCGGCAGTATCAACAGCAGCAGCAGCAGCAGCAGCAGCAGCAGCTCACTTGCTGCATCTGTCTCTCTCATAAGCTGCAGCGTCCCCTCTGCTGCTCCATCGCATTTCTTTGCTGCTGCTGCAGCAGCAGCAGCAGCAGCTGACGCTTGCTGCTTGTGCTGCTGCTCCTGCTGCAGCGACTCTATCAGCCCCGCGCAGCCTTCTTCTCGATCTGAATCATCACTGGCTTCGCTGCTGCTGCTGCTGCTGCTGCTGCTGCTGCTGTTGCTGCTGCTGCTGCTAGCTAGCTGCTGGGGTGTATCCTCATCTTCTGATGTCTCCTCCCCTGCAGAGACGCGCCCCCGCCCCTTAGGAGCCATTGTCCTTTGCTGCTGCAGCAACTGCTGCTGCTGCTGCTGCTGCTGCTGCTGCTGCTGCTGCTGCTGCTGCTGCTGCTGCTGCTTGTGGTCCTGCTGCTGCTCCTTCTGCTGCTCCTGTTGCTGGTGTTGCTTCTGCTGCTGCTGGGAATGTGCTGCTGCTGCTGCCGTTGCTGCTGCTGCTGCTGCTGCTGCTGCTATGAATGCTGCTGCTGCAGCTTGCTGCTGTGCTGCAGCTCTAGATAAGGATTCTGCTGTGTATTCACTGCTGCAGCAGCAGCTGCTGCTGTTGCTGCTGTTGCTGCTGCTGCTGCTGCTGTTTCTGCTGCTGTTGCTGCAGTCGCAGCAGGAGGCCCCTGCTGCTGCTGACGCTGGGGGCCCCACAAGCCGAGAGGCGTTGCTGCTGCTGCATGCAAAGAAACACCGAAATATTTATTTATTTTAATTAATTAAAATAAATAAATAAATAAATAAATAAATAAATAAATAAATAAATTATATTTATCTCTATAGCAACCCTAAACCCGTATTACCTGCGGGGCCCCTCTGTGGGGCCGAAGGTCTTGACGGACCGCATGCAGCAGCAGCAGCAGCAGCAGCAGCAGCAGCTGCTGCTGCTGCTGCTGCTGCTGCTGCTATTAGCGCTAAAAGATAGCGTTT